CCCGAGGGAGATGATGGTCCCTTAGAGAAGGCTCTTCATTGTGAGACGGTGGCTTTTCGGAGGGTGTTTGATTTTCTTTTTCTTTCTCAGAGAATTGAGCAGGGCCCTATACTACTCAGGAAGTTGTTTTAGAACAGTTTTTCGGAGCTTTCTCTCTGGAAAGCTATAGAATCGTTTTGCTTAACCCTTAATCACAAAACATGACAGTGTGGAAAACCAGGCCCAGAGTGGGCCAGACACTGGGCTAAAGTGGCCCAGGGAAACGGGAACAGGAAGTTGGACAAGAGAGAAATTCATCAAAACTTAGTTTGCTGGCCTCTCACTGCTGCGGTGCAGTTTGAGAAATGAAAAACATCTCGGAGGAGGGAGAGGAATTCTCACTTAGCTTCGTGATTTTACTTACTCAGTTTATTGCACCAAGCATCCTGCTACAGACAACTTCTAAACGGTTCAAGAACATAGAGCTGTGAGGAATGGTAAGCACGGAGAACCGGGTTAAATTCCTAGCCAGGTGCCCATCACCAGGTGTATCTGAGAAATGTTGGCAGCTCCAGCAGGCAGAACGCTGCTGACGGGCTTTGTGCAAGCATGGCGATGAGCAGTAGATACGAGGCGTGGGGACAGCTGTTAGTAGGCACAGGGCTGCGGTTGGCATGGTGCTGAATGTTAAATACTATTCCCGAATCCTTTCTTTCCTACAGAACAAGTTGGCACTACGACTAGAGCCCTTAATTAGAAACTGACCCGAAATAAATGATTTTCATTCTTTTTCTCTCTTTCTTTCCTCCTGCCTATGTTTCTCTTCTTTGAACATTGGAGCGTATACCTTCAATTCGTTGGAAAATTCTCTAACTTTTAGTCTCCCAACAGGATTAGACCTGCTAAGAGTCACTAGTGTTTTCTATCTGATAAGTAAGGGGATTACAGCAATAAATGCTGTCAGCGTTTTTTCTCATTTAAACAAATAAAGCTGACAAATGATAAAGCTCTGTGCTGCTCTGTTATGCTTAGTACATGCAGAGCAATTATTCAACTGCTGCCAGCATTAGTCTATCTACAACTAAACCATCCAACGGCATTGAAAGCTTATTAGCATATCAGTCTCATAGTCGTATTTTTATATTCTGTAAGACTCTACTCCATAACAAGGGCCGGTGGTTATAATTTGCACAATAATTTAAAGGGTTGGACTTTTCCATGCTTATTAGAGTTACACAACTTATCAGGTAGAATGCCTCTCTTATTCATGGGATGCCATCTTCTGCTTGCCTGGGATTTTTGCTCTTCTGTAGCCTTTCCTATGAACTTGTTAGCTGCCAGCTCTGGAAATGTAGAAGTAGATGGCTTTCTCTGCAACAGGACTGGATGAACCTCAGGGAAGGCAAGTGGGTGGAGGTTTCCTTAAATAGAGCTGCTTTCCGTGAATGTTTCCTGTGTGAGGCTTCTCGTATGTGTGTGTATCTGTTGTATAACATTTATATATAGTATATATACAGACGTACATATATAAAATATATATCACAAGACATAGCTATAATGAAGATTTGTGAGAGAATATAATGGTTTTTAAATTTTTATCTTATTCAATAATTTCTTGTCATTGTAGAAAAAAGTATAATGGATACAAAGTGTTCATGACTTTCCAAGGGAGGGGATGGTTAGACAAGATTGATGACCTCATGTTAGAAGAAGAGGTCTAATCCAGCGAGATAACATACTGCCTTTGGGGGGGATGATGCCACTGGGGCCTTTTAAAGAAGCCTATCCCCGCAGATGCTACCTGAGGAAAAAATACACTGTGTTTTGAAATAGTTATTTTACATTTGTTTTGTTTTGCCAATCTCGTGGGCAACCTCAGGGAAGGACCTGTAACTGAGCCATTCTAATGTTGAAACTATGACTTCAACATTTTCCTCTCAACTGTAGTTAGTCTGAATGAGGGATTGCAAAGCTTCCTGACAAGAATGGGGGAAGATCAGCTATGACCTTCATGGTGGGGTTGATGGTCGAATGTCCATGCTTTCCAAAGCAAACCATGTGCAGTAACCATATTTTCTACTTTCTGCATTTGGTGCTCTGACATCTTGGGGTTTAGCTGACTCTGGAGGTAATCCCCTGCAAAGGGCTGGCTGATGTCTAGCGATAACAAACAATTTGCCTGTGAGCATGCCTTTCTTATGCACACCAACCAATTCAGAGCGTATTCCCCCAACCACTTCTTCCACGGAGCTCTTACAGTCTGGGCCAATAATATTTCCCTGCACCAAATCCAGGACTAGGCATCAGACAACTAGGGTAGCCATTGTGTCCCAGAATTATTCAAACTCGCCAATTCTAAATCTGTTTATGCTGCCTCTCCAGTTCCTTCCCATGGAAAACACAAAAAACCCTCCTGCCCACCTTTCCCCCTGCCCTTCTGCCTGCTGGCTGACCCTGGTGCTTCCCCGTGGGTCCCTGCATGGTGTGCTGTGCTTCCTGTTTCTAGGGATTTGTGAGTGTCAGCCTTTTTCTTTATGCCAGTTATTTCTGTTTCTCTGTGTCTTACCATACCTCATTAAAACTGATACCTAGTACCCTTAAAATACCAAGCCTCCTAGATTAAATCATAGCAAGTTTTGAGGTTTGTATGTGGAAACTTCCTGCTATGTAAACCTGATAATCCTGAACCATTTTTGCGACGGCGTTTGTCTTCATTTCCAGCTGAGAGGAAGCCAATAGCTTAGATATTCTTGTAAGATGGAGAAAGTGAAAACACAGGCTTGTTCCCCATTAGCTTGAAGGCATTTCTGGCCTTTTGCGCTTACAGATGCTTCTTCAGTGAGACGCCTGATTCCCATGTGGTGGTGTTTTTGTCCTAATACGTTTCCATGACCTGGGACAGGGGAGCCCTGCCATATTAGCATTACCCTAACTATCACCTGGCTGCACTGATTTGCTGTTCTCTCTCCTCCCTTTCACTGTTCAAAGTAGATACTCTCCCATTTGCCTGAAATCAAAGAGAAAAATATAAAACAAGCCCTCTTCTCTACAGCCCAGTTCCTTATTTTTTGTTTATTCAGCTGTACTTTCTGATCCCCAGTGAGGGGGCTGCTCTCTAGTCTGTTTCTGTCCTGACAAACCATTTTTAAAAATAATCTTGCTTTATTCTCTCTTTCTGTGACATTCTCCCTTTCTCGTCACCTGCCAACTTCGCCTTCTTCTTGTCCTTGCCCTCCCACTCCCACTCCTTTTAAGTGCAAAGGAGGGAGAAGCAGCAACAACAATAAAAACACCTCTAAGGCTTCTTTCCTATTCAGTGTAGGAGACTAGGAGATGGCTCTCAGGACTCTTCCATCTCTGCCGGAGAAGAGGGTGTACTTGTGCACTTTGCACAAACCGCAGAAATGTGAAAAATCGACTGTCACCAAGATGATGTTCTATATCTGCTACCTCCTACACTTAGGATAACTCAAATTGTACATAGCAATTTATGTGACCATAATGCTCTCTCTCATCACACACTATAAATAGCCCATCATTGACTGGGTGGAAGGGAATGCTTCCCCAGCCTGACTAATCCCACACCTCCATCCATGTTCTTTAAATCCTACCGCCACCCGAGATACAATCATGGTCCACCTCCTCACCCAAGTGTCCCTGGCTCACTTAGGTTCTACTGATGATTGTGTCCCCTGAATTCCCTTATCACTTAAAAAGCATAGTTACGCAGTTAATTTTCCTTTACATGTTCCATGTTAGTCTTATTTCCATACTGAAGTGTAAGCACCTAAAACTCGGGGAAAGAATTGAATTTTTAAGTGGGACCTGTATTTAGTGCTGGTTTTGGTATAAGACAGATATAGACCACACCCCAGGTCTTCTGTATCCGGATGGTGTGACTATGGACAAATGTGTCTAAGTCATAGTTCTCACCTGTGCGAAGTGGGGATGCAGCGGTGTCTACTGCATGAGTGCTCTGGAAACGGAGTGAGTGAGCAGGTTCACGGCTTATCGGGATGCTAGACACTTCGGTGAAACCCATCAAGCATCACCCTTATTTCCCACGCTGCGCCTCCTGAACAAGCCCAGCCTCGGCCAGTGTTGGCTGCATGGAGAGAGCGTACCGACATGAAGGCTGCTACCCTGCTTGCGATGATTTAACTAACATGGCTAGTGAGGGCTGTGCCCTTTCATTCCTGGCATTCTATGCAAGGTGACTGTCCTCCCCAAAGAAAGAAAGGCTGATAGTCCTAGGTCAGATGTTTGGAAGAAACTCTCTCTCCAGTAAGAAGCACCAGGCAGACGTTCTAACTATTAGAAGGAAAATGCAAAGTACTTATGATGATGATGATAACAACAACAACAGAAGGTCAATGTCTTAGTTTTATCTCATTCCACAGATGTACCCTTAGCCCCTCTTTCTACAAAAGCCTCTCTTTTTTTCACCTCCTCTTGCCACTGTTCCAAAGGCCTTCCCAAGTCCTCCTCTCTGGGCTTTAAGGCTAACTTAGTTCCACTTGTCTGCCTCACATTTGCTGGGCCCTCCTTGGTCCCATCCCGTGCATGTTTGCTGTCCCTGTTTTTCTTCTAAGCCGTACTGCTAGAGTGACCCTGTCCCCACTGTTATACTTGGGTAGGGGCATTTAGAACCACCTGGAACTATGTCACTGGGGTTGGTCCGTTGAGGCCTCTTGAGCTTCTACAATCCCAGTAACTAATTTGGTACATTTCTTATAGTCGATTTTACACCAAGAAAGATTAAAAAGCACTAAGCCCAGGCACTGTGGAAACCATTATATTGTATTAGAGCCACATTGGTCGGTGATATTTTACACTTACTCTTTCCAGCCTACTCAACTGTTGGGATTTAATTAGCAGTAATATATTATTGTCAAAGTAATTAAAACTGCTCCTTGATTAAAAACAGAATTGTGTAATTAACAAGAAAAGGTTTGGCTAGCCTTAACTTTCTATTTGAGAAATATAACAGCCTCATCGGATTTGCTCTGTTTTCTTATCAGGCTTGAAGGTCCGGGAGGTGTTTATCAACGTCACCAGGCAGCAGGTGGAGGACTTCCACGGGCCAGAAGACTACTGGTGCCAGTGTGTGGCATGGAGCCACCTGGGGACCTCCAAGAGCAGGAAGGCCTCTGTGCGCATAGCCTGTGAGTATATTCTGGGTGAATTCCTTGTCCTGGGGGAACACAGACAAGACTTAAATAGGGTTGAAGAGGGGCTTTGGACATGCAGAATACACATTAGAGGATGGCAGAAAACTCTCAGCATTGTCTCTACATCTATAAATCACTCTTTTAAAATTGTACATTACGTGTTTGATAATTTCCTCTGGAGTACAATCAGCAAATCAGTTGGGCTAAGAGATTCTGCCTAGATTGTCAGAGTGCAGACGTCTCAACAATGCCAGGAAGGAACGGTTCTCAGGAGAAAGAAACCCATGCGAATGGATTCTGCTGTTCACCATCAATGGCAGAGTTCAAGGGGCATCGGTGGGAAGAGTTGAGCAATGACTGTTTACTGTACTTTACAGCAAATCTGCAAAAATAAGTCATTAAGGAGTAAGGGATTTTTATAGCCTGCTATTAAACCCCTTCCCACTGAATCTTAAGCATGAAAATGGGTTTTAAAACTGCATTTCTTTGCTCCAAGTGGGGCTTAAAAAAAAAAAAAATAGACACTTGGAAAAAAGAAAAAAAAGAAAATTGCTTTTCAAGAGAGTCCAATATTTCTTTATCATATTTCTGCATCAGTGTTTTCTTTATCTCAAACCTACTGAGAAATACACAAACTTCCTTTCTCCTACTTTAGAGTGTCTTTATCTCGCCCACCCCCGTGGGTCCCCATAAAACCTCCTTTGTGTCCTCAGGAGTGTAAAAGCCCCTCAAGAAAGAAACAGAGAGGTAGAGAGCAGAGATGCTTTTTGTCGTTTTATTCAAATGCTGCCTTTGGAGAGTGTCATGAAGAATATCGGACAAGGGGGACTTATTTGAGGACTCAAGGAATTCTTCATAGCAGTTGTCGATGGTTTGGGGATTAAGAATAGGAGCGAATTGCTATTTGCAGAGACATTCATGCTTCTTGGGAAATGAAATCTTCCTCTCGGAATCCGCATTTCATCTTCACTGTGCTGGCGATTTGGGAGCCCCTCTCCTGGGTGTCAACTGGGCCTCAGCAGGCCAAGCGGAGCTCTTAACGTAAGCACAGTAGGAAGCAATTTCCCCATACTTATTTAGTTCATCTTAGCCAACAAATGCTTTAAGGCTTTGAAGTTGCAGATCAGCTGAGAGAGGGAATATGTTTGATTTTACTCTCCTTTAACTCTTCTAGCTCTGACCCCCTGCAGGGCCTCATCCAGGCTAGCCCCAGGGCATTTGACCCTACTCAGGGGGGAGCAGGTTATCGGGCTCTGTCCGAAGACAGGAGATGCAGTGCAGCATACAGGATTTCAACACGGCTTCCTTTGAATTCCTTCTTCTCAAGGTCACTGTTCCTCCTTTGTCTTCCTCTGCTTCTTTGGGGCCCACATGACATATTCTATAAATTACTATAAGTAGCATCTCTCTTATCTGTCCACTTCATTGTCTCTCTCACCTCCATACTTGCTCACTTAATTCTGATTGTCACATGCCTGCTAGAAACCTCTAGGGGGTTTCCCTTGTCTTACAAAGTTTGGCAAAGGAATGGTTCAGACCCACATTTACTAATTTCCCATAATCTTCGATTGCGTGCACTTTGCTGTCCTCGCTGACATGTGCCTTTGCTCGTGCAGTTTCCAGTTTCACACGTGTCCAGGTGGTGAAGAACCCAGACTCTGGTTGGGTTCCGGTTCTAGTTCCACTACTTGGTTTTTTGATGGTGGACGATTTATTTATTTCTCTGTGTCTTAATATCTCTGGTGACAAAAGGGTCCCTATTTATAGAATTATTGCAAGACTTAGAAGTATTGATAACTATAAGTGTTTAAAATGTTACCTGACATAGAGTTAGCCCCTGTCAATCACTAGCTATTATTTTGTGACTTATCTAATCCTCGAAAGCACCAGCATCATTCACCAGTAGGTGTGTAAATACTTACTGAAATTGATTGAACTGAATTAAAATTTTAGTGCTGTAGTAATTTTTTCTGCAGATTATGGCTATGTGGACTCTAAGAATCCAGTCTAGGCCAGTCCTAGGTATCCAGCTCTCCCAAGTATGAGAGAATTTTTAAAAATGTTAAAAATAGAAAACACTTTTTTCACACTTCCCACTTTTTTAGAATCACCTGATACTCTTGGGTTAATAATCTCATAAATCTCTTCAGGGGTTTAAAAAATTATTTTTGTCATTCTTGTATATGATATGTTCATATGAGTATGGTAAAGATAGGACTTTTAAGTTATAAAAGCAATATCACTAAAGCCTATATTATGTAATTAATATAATCTCTAATACTATTTACAACACATTTTTAATTTCTATGTCACTACTGACAAATTCTTTAATTTATTTAAAATGATGCAAGTCATGACTTGATTTGTCATTAAATATTGCATCTGACTTGGGGACCAGCGTACATTAAAATGCAAATTGAAATTTAACTATGTTTAATGGCATCAAGAAATGGAGGGAAAAAAACCTGCCTTAAGGACCATGCTTGGAATTTTTTTGATTTGCTTGCAAGAAAAAAATGCACACAAAGAACACATACTTTTTTATAACTTTCATGTTTTTTTAAATAACATATTTCTGGCTACTGTTTGCAAGCACAGATAAATGAAATGAAAAATCAATAAATGAAAAACCAAATTGGATATAATTGTCACTATGTGTTACTGTTTTTTTAAGATTAGTTTTTAAAGTACTGAAGACATTTTAATGGGCTAAATAAGAATTTTGATAGATGAATGTAGCTTATGCATCTGATGACCGTTGTCTTGAGGGGACTTAAAATTAGTATCATTTTTATATCATTCATTAAATTATTGTGGTTCAACATCAGGGCTGCTATTGCTTCCTACATTTAACCAATGATCCATGAAGAATTTAAAAATTTCAAAACCACAGTGAGCACAACCTTCATGGCAGCTGGGACATTCTGCTGAGGGATGCGTTGGCTGTAGTGTCTGGACATGATCAAGTTAGCTAATCTCTGCAGAAACACCAGGAAGCTCAGTGGCATGATATCAATTAAAAATCCTTAGATTTTAAAGGGAAACAATATAAACACAATTATTTTACTTATTTATATAACTCATAGTTTCATTGA